ACACACACACACACACACACACACACACACACACACACACACACACACACACACACACACACACACACATGCTGTTACCAGAGCAGGGAGCAGCAACGGTGAAAATACCTCAGAAACTCGAACAAATAGGCTTTAACAAGGCTTTAATAAGTTAAACAATAGAGGTACATGAGAAAACGTGTTCATAATGAATGAAAATAAATAATTAAATTGTGTCCGTGCCGGTCTTAAACCCTGGTCTCCTGCTCTCTGGTCCAACACTCTACCCATTGCCCTATTGGAGGCTTGTTGTGAAATGAGCTGCACATTACACAACAACTGACGGCTTTTTATACTGAGGAGGTGGAGTCTCACCCGGGGGTTGCTAGGTAAGGGGCTGAACGCAGGCTCCGGTGGGTTGTCGTACAGCTTGTGACATCACAAAATGACGGAAGTATAAAACTTGTCATTAATATACATTAAAATATATATTTACTTACAGTAAATATGCCCCTGGGTGCATTTTTTTGGTCCCAGGACTGATTTTTTAAGAAGTACCTACCCAACGTTGAGTTAAAAAACCTTTAAAAAGTAAATTTTACATAATAGGTCCCCTATATGTGTAAAAAAATTCTTAGTTAAAAGCTGAGAGTAAAAGTCAGTTATCAAGCGTCTCAGTCTTACTGTAAGTGAAGTGTAGGAGTAATTCTTAAGTGTCAGTCTTAGAGCTGATTTGCGTCACCTGGCTGTGCCACAAAGATGATCCTAGATGACGTTGTTAGAAAAAACCCTGACATGAACCAATCACTGCCTCAGATTTCATGTTCAAGAATATTGTYGGAGAAATGTCAAGATAAAACTGTGAAAATGCTAAGATAATTTCACTTTCAACACACTAATGTTGTCACCTTGTACTGATTGTCTAGAATTACATAAAATGTCCTCATTTGCATCATGAAAACAGACGAAAAATCTCACAAATGTTTTTAAATCAAAAACTCAGAAGCTTTAAAGTTTTATGTCTCAGAGCCTGAGGTCATGTTGAATGTTGCAGATGTTTTTAATGTTTTTATTATTTTTTTATCGGGGTGTAGACTCCAACCAGAAGGAAGTGAAAGTATGCTGCAGTAGGAGGGGTTTCCCAGGAGCTCGGCATGATGCGTCGAACACCGAACAACCACGTGGCTGCGCGTCTACTGTTCGGCTTCAGATGGAGAGGCCTTCAGCCTCAGCTTCACTGACTCTGTTGCTGTGACCACCATCTAAATCAGACCTTCACTGGCCCAGAAAGTTTTCAAAACAATAATAGCATCACGCTGTAGTGTCTGTTCTACTCTGTGTGGACCAAGAAGTGAACAAGACAGCTCTTACCTGTATCTGAGAGGTCTCGTAAGGAGATGCTGAGGGCGTTCCTTTTTAGACGTTCACCAATGGAGCAGCTGTCATCAAGGCTTGCTTGGCTCAGACTGCCGTTTCTGGTTTCCTTTGTTGACCCAGAGCTCTGAGGCAAACCGGTCCTCACCGCAGCTTTCTGTTTCTCAAGCTCCGCTGTCAGGAACACATCCAACATTTACAATCAATCTAGGCGCCAGCCTCATGGACAAAGACTTCTTACTAAAATGTGGCCTACAGTCAAATCAAGAAAACGCTGTACACACAAATAAATCCAGATGTATCAAACCGTGCACATGCTGGAATCCACGCACATTTCTTTTGTGCATCCCAGTCAATGTGAACCTGAGCACATGTGAGATTCCTCCCCTGACACCTTCATATGTTAGATGCTCATTATGTTCATTGTGTGTGATGGACATGCGTGATCAGAACTTATTTCTAGATTTAAGAAAATAAGGAATTAAATATAATGAGAGTGAGAAAAAATTCTAAATAAGTAGAGGGATGTATAAATGTGAAGCTGTTACTGGGCACACCCAGCGCAGTCCTCCATTCTGAGCCTGGAAATATTTTATAACTTCACACACAAGTTTATTAACATAGTTCAGGGACGGATTTACAGGGGGGGGCAGGTGGGGGGAGGGCCCTGACCCCCCTTTGTAGAGTCTTACCCCCACAGAGCAGCCCCCCCTACTTTTATGTTTCTAAAATATTTGTAATTTCTAACTGTTTGTTAGTCCAAAAGCCTACTACAGCATTCAAAATAAATATTTATTTACCAAAAATATATAATTGTAATTATAATCTGAGGCCCTTGAAAAACTTAGTTACGGCCCTGCATCAAACACTGCCTGCTGCCTGCAGGTGGAATGAGTTTCACATGACGAGGCAGTCTGTCTGCTGCAGAGTGGAGTCAGTGGGCCTCATGCAAGAACATGTTCGTATTCTTATCCTAAATTTCTCTTACTTTTGTTCGTACAAAGGGTTCGTACGAACATGTCACGTCAGATTCAACGAACTCTTCTATCTTCAGGAAAAGTGTGTAAATGAGATGCGTAAGAGGAGATTAGCATAATTACCACCCCAAAAACACCATATAAGGCTATGTTTCCTGCCTCAGATACCAGGAAG